CCCCCGCACATAAGTGACAGACAATACTTGAGGAATGAATGATACTTGTTCCCTGTCACCCCTCTGTGCTTGTTGAGGGGGCTGGGAGCCTGAGGGAGGAAGGATTCTGAATCCACCGGAGAAGGGGCAGCCCCAGTGGACTGGGGGCACTGCCTGGAGGCAAGTCTGGGCCCCAAAGACCAGAAAGGGTCCATGTGGGCAGCACGGCTGGCATGGATCCGTGGTTGAAACTGACCTATGAACCAGGAGGTCATGGTTCGATTCCTGGTCAGGGCACATGCCCAGGTTGCAGGCTCGATTCCTAGTGTGAGGCATGCCAGGCAGCTAATCAATTATTCTCTCATCATTGATGTTTCTATCCCTCTCTCTCTTTCCCTTCCTCTCAATAAAACATTTTTTTTTAAAAGAAAGGGTCATGTGGGCAGGCCCTGCTGCCAGCAGTCACCCAGGCCACCTTCCCAGAGCAGAGGGGAGCGCAGCCTGGAACCCCGACACCAGCAACAGCCCCAGTGCACTTTGCTCCGGGCCAGGCACTGGGCCCTGCTCCGGTTTCTTTCTCAGGGCACTGAGCCCCGGGCGCAGGAGGCAGTCAGTGCCCACGCACAGGTGAGGAGCACCGAGCGGCTGCATGGCTCGCTGTGGTCAGAGCCCGGCCTGACCCAGAGCTGAGCTGCCCGGCCACATCCCTGAGTGCGTCTCTCACTGGAACAATGGGGCATCGCTGTAGGCCTCAGGCAAGCCTGTTGGCCACTTGCAGATGCTGGCCTCCCAGTTGTTCTGGACAAACTCCAGGAGGCCAAGCACCCCTCCCCCCACTTGGGGCAGGCAGGGGGTGTGGCTGTGGAAGGTGCCCCTGGGCCCCAAATAGCCCGGCCCCCTCTCCCTCCTGTTTCCTCAATGTCACACGGATTGGAGGGCAGGGTTGGACCCTGCGTCCTGACTTTCTCCTGGTTGCTCCTCTGAAGGACTGTTTCCACTCTCTCCAATTCCTTTTTCCTCTTTTTACTTTTAAATGTTACTTTTTTGTTTGTTCATTTGAATCAGAAATACACTCACATGTTTCAAAAATGAAGCCACAGAAAGGTTTATAACAAGATAACCACTCTCATCAATTTCTTGTGTATCTTTTCCAGTATTTCTACATATAAATAAGAGCAAATGTGAATTTATATGTGAATTTATATATATGTATCTATATAAATATATCTGTATTTCATAGAGGAAGGGAGAGGGAAAGAGAGAAAAACATCAGTGATGACAGAGAATCATTGATTGGCTGTTCCCTGCACATCCCCCACTGGGGATCAAGCCCACAACACAGGCATGTGCCCTTGACTGGAATCGAACCTGGGACCCTTCAGTCCACAGGCTGACGCTCTATCCACTGAGCCAAACCAGCTAGGGCTGATTTATATTTTTTATGCACACGCGCACACACACTTCTTACAAAAAGACACGCCTTAGTATATACCATAGACAACACACTGCGAGCAGGTCCTGGGCACCCTCCCCCTCGGAACAGACTGACCTTTACGAATAGAGCACAGGCTCTGCGCGGTGGCTGTGCACAGCGCACTGGGAGCGCGCCGTGGGGCCCATGTCCATAGAGCTGGGTGAGCAGGCCATTCCCTCTGTGCACAGGCTCCTAGGATACATTCCCAGCAATGGGCTCCTCCCTCCTCCCTTCTTTTTGGTTCCATCTTTATTGAGATACTAGAGGCCTGGTGCACAAAATTCATGCATGGGTAGGGTCCCTAGGCAATCAAGGCCAATCTGTGGGGCAACTGGCAAGGCGATCTGGGGGGTCCCCTTACTGCTGCCAGTTGCCTTCCTCTGTGGGGTGACCAGTGGGGCAATTGGGGGGCCCCCGCTGGCACCCGCCTTGGCTGGCCTGGGGCCCGCAGGCTGGGGGCAACTTCTGCGTTGAGCATCTGCTCCCCGGTGGTCAGTGCGCATCATTGCGACACGTCGATTTGCATATTAGCCTTTTATTATATAGGACTAGAGGCCCGGTGCACAACGTTCGTGCACTGGGGAGGCGGGCCCTCAGCCCAGGCTGCACCCTCTCACAGTCCAGGACCACTTGGGGGAGCAGGCCTAAGCTGCCAGTTGGACATCCCCCAAGGGGTCCTTAGCGCTGCCTGGGGGCTGGAGAGGCTCCTGCCACCACCACTGCACTCCCCAGTCCTGAGCCCAGCTTCTGGCTGAGTGGCACTCCCTAACCACCAGGGGGCAGCTCCTGTGTTGAGAATCTGCCCCCTGGTGGTCAGTGCGTATTATAGCGACCCATCTTTCTGCCATTCAGTTGATTTGCATATTAGGGTCTTATATAGGACTAGAGGCCCATTGCATGAAGAGATTCGTGCAATAGGCCTTCCCTCCCCCTGGCTGCTGGCACTGGTTTTCCTCTGGCACCTGGGACCCAGGTCTTCGCTCCGGCCAGAGCCTTCAGTCTTCGCTCCACCACTTCGCCCCTACATATGCAAATTAACCGCCATCTTTGTTGGGTTACTTTGCATACTCTCCTGATTGGCTGGTGAGCGTAGTGGGGGACAGTTAATTTACATATTTGTCTATTATTAGGTAAGATACTCCCCATAGCACGTGACTGACCACAGAGTGTGCACAACACAGTGGTACTGGCTGTTCACAGGTGCACACATGCCCTGTGACCACTGCAGTCCTTCCTCCCTTGAGCCCTCTCCTGTCAGGCTATCCCCTCATTCTGCCCTTGTCACTTACATAGCTGCTTCCAGTGGTCAGCTCTCTGTCCTCAGCTAACCTGACCCATGTGCCCATTTGCTGCAGCTGCCCTGTCCTCCTCTTCAGCCATTCATCTCTTTGAGCCAAACAGTGCAGCCCTAGCCAGTTTGGATCAGTGGATAGTGAAGTGACCCTGGAGTTAAGAGCTGCAGGAGGAGAGGGAGGGGCCTCGGGTTCAATTCCGGTCAAGGGCACATACCTCAATTGCAGGCTCCATCCCCAGCCCTGGCCGGGGCGCATGCGGGAGGCAACCAATTGATGTGTCTCTCTCACATCCATGTTCTCTCTCTGTCTCTCGCCCTCGCTTCCACTCTCCTTAAAAATCAAGGGGAAAATAAGTCCTCGATGAGGCTGAACAACAGTGCGGGCCCAGGGCTCATTCCTCGGCCTGGGCTCCACCTGCACCTGTTCGCTGTGTCATCCTCCGGACTGCGGCTTCCCCACCAGCGAGGTGCCACTGACTCTCTAATTGATGTCATCAGCCTTGATTTCTGTATTCCACCCCGCCCCTCACCCCCCGGCAGTGCCTAACAGACATCTGAAACCAATCATCCAAAGCTGACGTGGGTCTCTCCTCCTATTAGCTATGGCCTCTCCGTCTTCGCCTTTGTTGATTACGGAAACCTCGGAGGTACCTGAGTCCCCAGTAAATCCTGTGGGCTCTGCCTGCTTATATGCTAGCACTTCTCTCCACCTCCACTGCCCCAGCCCGGTCCAGGCCCATGGCAGCCCAGAAGGATCCTGTGAAGATTGAGGTCCAATCGCATCCCTTCCCTCCACCACGTCATGGCTCCCGCCTCACTCGCAGTCAGGCCAAGTCCTTGCTGGGGCCCACAAAGCCCTATACATCTGCCCCAGCTTCTACTTCACCTTCCACCTTCCCCCTGATGCACTCCAGTCCCCTGGCCTCGCCGTTCCTCCATCACCTCAGGATCATCCACTTCCCCCGCCCCCCGCCCCTCCCTCCCCTCCTGCAGCTCTTAACTCCAGGGTCACCTCCCAGCGAGTGGTCCCCATCCTGTTCGCTCTTGCACACACCTGCTTCACGCCCCTCCCCTGCTTTATTTCAATCCCAGCACTTATCACCACTTGACCAATCACATCTCTTGCTCATTTTCCTTGTTTGTGATAACCCCCATCCACATGGAGCCCACAAGGGTTGGGTTTTTATGTCTTGTTCTTAGCTGTAAGCCCAGTAAGATAGAGCCTGGTGTGCAGCAGGCTTCCAACAAATACTTCTGAAAGAGTCAATGAATGAGTGACCAGGCAAATGTTTGCTGGCTCAGGGCCTGAGGGTCAGGGCAGGGCTAACTGAGGAGCCCAGCTCCCCTCCCCCATGATGGCCAAGGACCCAAGAGCCTAGCAAGGAAGGTGGCTTTGGAACCACCCAAGGCCTGGGTCCAAGCCCAGTTCTACCCTCCCCAGCAGGCTGACCTTGAACAAGTCACATGACCTGTCAGAGACAGTTTCCTTATCTGGAGAATGGAGATGATAGTTTCCCACCCAGGGGCCTATTGCGAGAAACGCATGAGATAGTAGTGGCCTAGGCTCAATTTGAAAGCCGGCTCCAGGAGGGGCAGGGTGGCTGTTGGCATCTCCGGGCTCAGACAGAATGACCCCTCCCCCACTCTCGGTTTTCCCTCAAGTGGGCAGCATCCACAGCCCAGAACTAGGCAGAATGGGCAGCAGAGAAGGAGGTGATGGGGGAGTGGATGCCCCTCAAAATCTCACACTGCAGGAGGCCCAGCTTTTTGCATGAGCCCCACCCTGGAAGCCACCTGATTGCTCTAGTTTCTATCAACTTCCCTTCCGCTCCCTGGGGGTTGCCTGCAGCAGGTGCCAGCAGCCCCTGGCATGACCCTACCCAGCAGCTCCATCAGGTCTCGCTTCCTCCTCGTGAAGGCCACAGGGCACAGCTTATTACTCCCATCCTATGGATGAAGAAAGTGAGGCCAGCGAGGTGAAGGGCTTTCCAGAGCCACACGGCCAGTCAACGACGAGCTGGGGCCAGAGCCAGGCCTGACCCACCATTTCTGCTCCCTCAGCCCCTGGCATGTGCCTCAAAGGCTCTGCTGGCGTCCCACGGAGATGCCCACCTTGTCCTGCCTTCCGAGCCCACAGCCTCGCTCTCCCCAGTGCATTATTCATGCTCCCAGAGCCAGCCAGCTCCAGTTACAGGACCACAGCCCTGGGCACCTGCGCCGCCTCCCCTCCTCCCCTTCCCAGGACATGGAGGGTCCAAGGCTCCTCTCCAAGGCAACTGGGTGGGTCTGAGCACCCCACTCTGGCTCAGGAGATGCAGCTCCGCCCCCACCGACTCCACAGGTGCTGGTAGTTAGGGCGCGCTGCCCCTCTCTGGGGCTGGGTCACCCAGGCGCTCCCTTCAGGGGGCTGAGCCAGCGGAGGCCCCGGAGTGGGTGGCCGTGTCAGCAGGGGGTCTTCATCGCGCCTTCAGGCCAAGATGGCCTCCCCCAACGCAGGCCTCCCGGCTCCGGGTAAACAACACCCACGCACTTTCCACCGCCGCTGGAGGGTGAAACCCAAGGCGGAGGCTCAAGGAGATGAATTATGGATCCGCCTCCTGGGAACTGTCCCTCCCAGGCCACCAGGCCAGTCCGAGGTGCAGCGCCCAGGCCGCTCTGCAGCCGCGGCGGGAGGCCCAGCAGGACCCCGTCTCCAAGCTCCTGAACTTGGACACCGGCCCCGGCTGGTGGGGAGCAGGCCGCCACCATGGCCGACGAGGAGAAGAAAGCCAAGAAGAAGAAGAAGAAGGGGCAGGAGCCGGAGAAGCCCAAACGGAGCCTGAAGGGGACCTCCCGGCTGTTCATGGGCTTCCGCGACCGCACGCCCAAGATCTCCAAGAAGGGCCAGTTCCGCAGCGCGTCCGCCTTCTTCTGGGGCCTGCACACCGGCCCGCAGAAGACCAAGCGCAAGAGGAAGGCGCGCACGGTGCTGCAGTCCACGTCCAAGCTCATGACGCAGATGCGCATGGGCAAGAAGAAGCGCGCCATGCGGGGCAAGAAGCCGTCCTTCATGGTCATCCGCTTCCCCGGCCGCCGGGGCTACGGCCGCCTCCGGCCCCGGGCGCAGTCGCTCAGCAAGGCCTCCACGGCCATCAACTGGCTCACCAAGCGGTTCCTCATCAAGAAGGCCGAGGAGTCGGGCAGCGAGCAGGCCGCGGTGGACGCCTGGCTGAGCCGCTCGGGCTCCCACGTGGGCTCCCGCAAGCTGCCCTTCCCCTCGGGCGCCGAGATCCTGCGGCCGGGGGGCCGCCTGCGGAGGTTCCCGCGCAGCCGCAGCATCTACGCGTCGGGGGGACCCCGTGGGCTTCCTGCCCTTCGAGGACGAGGCCCCGTTCCGGCACGCGGGCTCCCGCAGGTCGCTGTACGGGCTGGAGGGCTTCCAGGACCTGGGCGAGTACTACGACTACCACCGCGAGGGCGACGCCTACTACGACCAGCGGTCGCTCTCCCAGTACGAGGAGCAGGACCCGGGCCTGGCGACCAGCGGTCGCTCTCCCAGTACGAGGAGCAGGACCCGGGCCTACGACCCCTACGTCCCCTACGACCCCTACGGCGCCTACAGCCCCTACGACCCCTACGGCGCCTACAGCCCCGCTTGGCCGCCGTATGGAGACCACGCTCCCGGGTACCCGCCCGAGGACCCCTACGACCACTACCCCCTGGACTACTACGGGGGCCCCTACTACCCCACGTCTGCCTACGGCTACAGTTACGGCTACGAGGATCACGAGCCCCCCTACGCGCCCCCAGGGGGGTACGCGTCTCCCTACAGCTACTACGACAGCGAGCCGTACCCGCAGGCCTACTACCTGGACCCCTTTGCACCTTACGATGCGCCATACCTGCCCTATGACCTCCCGTACGATGTCCCCGCCTGGGAGCCCTACGGGGTGCCCTATGAGGCCCCCTATGGCCTCCCCTACGCCGAGGGCATCTATGGTGGCGGGGACCAGGCCATATACCCTCCTGAAGTGCCCTATCTGTACCCGGAGGAGCCGGCCTTTGCATACCCGTGGGTGCCACCACCCATCATGTCACCCCACAACCCCTACGCCCACCCCATGGATGACATCGCGGAGCTGGAGGAGCCGGAGGAGGCGGCCGGGGAGCGGCAGGGCACCTCCTTCCGCCTGCCCAGCGCCAGCTTCTTCGAACAGCAAGGCATGGACAAGCCCGCCAGGTCCAAGCTCTCCCTCATCCGCAGGTTCCGACTCTTCCCGCGGCCCCAGGTGAAGCTGTTCGGGAAGGAGAAGCTGGAGGTGCCCCTGCCCCCCTCCTTGGACATCCCCCTACCCTTGGGGGAGGAGGAGGAGGAGGAGGACGAGGAAGAGGTGCCCCCGGTGCGCACCGGGCCCTACGCCCACCCCTTCTGGGGCTTCCTCACGCCGCGCCAACGCAACCTGCAGCGGGCCCTGTCGGCCTTCGGCGCCCACCGCGCCCACCGCGGCCTGGGCTTCGGCCCCGAGCTCGGGCCCGCGCGCCCGGCCACCTCGCTGGCGCGCTTCCTCAAGAAGACGCTGTCGGAGAAGAAGCCGGTCCCGCGGCTCGGCGGCAGCCAGAAGGCCCGGCGCGGCGGCCCGGCCGTCCGGGAGGCGGCCTACAAGCGCTTCGGGCTACAAGCTGGCGGGAATGGGACCCCGACCGGCCCAACACGCCCATCATGCTGCGCCGG